ATCTATATATATATGTATATATACATATAAGTATACATATATATATACACATATATATATATACGCATTTTGAAAGCTGTTCCATTGGAATTACCTGTAGGTGCGCACACTGGCCAGCAGCAGTTCCCAGTTATCCCAGCCGTCCTTCTCCGTGCGCATGGAATGGCTCAGAATCTCATTGAGCAGCCGAAAGCACAAATCAACAATGTGCAAATGCTCGCGATACGCATCCGAATGCTTGGCACGCCTCCGATTCTGCTGGCGGGTGAGTGTGGGTGTCTTCCTGTATGCAGATGGGCGTGATGGGGTGCCTGTATGTGTGCTTGAGTATGTTTGGGCATGTGTGCGTGTAGGCGTGCGTGCTCGTGTACGAGTGTGTTGTTGAGTTCCATCGTCCAACAACAAACGTGCTTGTGAAGTGTCTGTATGGTCTACACTCCCGCGGCGGCGGTGAGTTGCGTCTATGGACTGTTGCGAGGCATTGGGTGTCTGCGATCGCTGGCCTGACGTTCTGAGCGGGTGAGAATTAATTTCATCAAATTAGTTGGGAATTTATTGAAACTAGTCAGTTTAAATAATATACTATTGGTCCAAATTAGTTATTTGGGATACGTTGGTGGTTGCAACTAGATAAATTGGATTTTTGGGATAAGTCGGTGGTTACAATTAGATGAATTGATTATTTGGCATAAGTTGGTTGCATTTAGTTAAACTAATTATTGGGATAAGTTGGTTGCAATTAGTTATTAAATTAAATATATGGGATAAGTGTGAGTTGCAATTAGTTAAACTATATATTTGTAATAATTTGGTCGCAACTAGTTAATTGAAGTACCGCCAACTCACTGTTCTAGTGGTGTGCACTCCCTGTGACGACCTCTAACCGAATAACTATAACTAAGCGGAACTAATCGGTTGGCAATTCTAAAGCCCAAGATACAACTATATATCCTCTCAAGTGTACTGCTTTGAATACTGAATACTGACCAAGGCTTGCCCGATGCTGTATTTGTGGAAAGTTCATGCCTTCTTATAGATATAAACCATACAAAGTAGGCACTGTCGCTTATCTATGTTCACATTCGAAACCTCCTTGAATGTATATGTACATTTAATCCACATACAAAGAAAGCAGATTCTGCTACTACACAGTCTTTTCTACTAAAGCACTTTGTATGACTTGAAGTATCTTCTCAGCATAGACGGTTAAGTGCCAGTGTTCCACAGGCTACTGACCTATACTGAGATTATGTGTGTGAGATATACATCCCGGTAACCAGAGACAGGAACACTCGTATACACGCATAACTAAAAAATAATCAGAGACACTAGGATGTATACACATGAGAGTATATACATAGACAAATGATCATACTTGTTTTGATTTTGTCGTAGGGTAGTTCATCAATAGATGTGAAAAGAAAGGAGTAACAGGATTCTGCCACTCATTTACATAAATACACACAAACATATGTTATGTATATATATATATATTTATATATGTAGAATATATATATATACATATTTGATATTTATATATATATATATATATATACATAATATATATATAACTGA